CGACAACTGTATTACGCTACCAGTTCCTTGAAATTTTTAAGTTAACATTTTTATTTGTGAAATTCGAAGTTTTATTTTTAATAACTAAAAAAAATTAATCTACAGGGTGTCCCCATCCCGAAATTCGAGGGTAATATTATTGCAGCATGAAACTTCGTGAAAAATTAATTAATAAAAGTATAAGCTACTTTTTTCCGTAAAGTAATTCTAAGCATAAACGTTTAGTGTTTGATAATCAATCATAAACGTTAGTTAAAAAGTCATCTATCATGTGATAATGTACGTGTAACAATGTTTTGTTTAGTATGTAATATAGCATTGCACGTTATATATGAACAAATGACTTTTTAATTAATGCTTATGATTACTTTAAACGTTTATACTTAAAAAACTATTCCACGAAAAAAATAGCGCTTATACTTTTATTAATTTTTCACAAGTTTCACGTTGCAATAATATTATTCTCGAATCGGGATACCCTATATAAAGATTTCTTGTATTTTTCTTATTAGATAATAAATTTTAAAATTATTAGCACGTGTACTCTAGTAAGATTTACATTAATGTCCAAAGAGAAAAACAGAAAACATAAATATCTAAATAAGATAATTAAAGGATTAATTAGACCATTAAGTTCGCGGTTAATATATCAGCAAGAATAACAAAAAATAATTGGAAATAGAATCGGAATAAGAAAAAACATTTTTTAAATAAATGAATTCTTTTTCAAAAATATGTTTTAATTTTTATTCTCGAAATACTAGCAATTATCAAATTTGCAAAAAAAAAGTGTGTATAAAATTAAAAAATTCATATACTGATATTTTGTAACATTAAAATGAAATATGACTTTATAAAGTGTTTACAGATTTTATATTTAACAAATTTGGTACATAGCTATATAAATGAATATTTCCATAAGAATATAGTCAATTGAATATGTTAATTTACTTGCCTTTGTTAAAATACTTGCCTATTTACATACCTATTTACATATCTATTATTAATTTTTTTCTTACATATTAGTATATAATTCTCAATTAAATATTCTGTGTGTGAATTATACTGTATTTTATCATCTCTTATAAATATATTATATTATATTAGATATTTTATATGATAATCACAGTATAAAAACATTATTTTTCTCACAAATAACATGCAACTGTTTCTTAATTTAAGTATCTTTTTACAATATCAGTTAAAAACGTTGGCTAAAAAATCAAATAAAACCAATAAAGCCATATCAAACAAATATTGATCGTGAATAAGCTGAAACCAGCTACAAAAAATTAAATAATAAATATATTACTTTAAATACGAAGCGCCACTACGGTATGAATGTTTAGATGTTGAACTATTGTAAATATTTATATAAATGAATTAATTTCAGAAATGATAGTTGTGTGCCGATATTGTCGGACTTTCAACGCAATCAATCTGAAATATTAATAATCCTCCCAAATTTCTCAGATTAGTCTTAAAAAATTGTAATAAATTTATTGCGAAAAATATTGCCTCGGCCGGGAGTCGAACCCGGATCTCGTATTCCGTGCAATTTATAAATAATAAATATTCGTAAGATTCGGGTTCGAAATCTTGAGTGAGATAATATATTTTTTCAAGAAATTATTCAGTTGTTAGGACTCTTGTTAACAATAAGATCGATATTCAGAATATGCTCGTATTGATAAATACGCGCTGTTATGCGTGAACTTCAAATATCGTACGTAACTATATATTAAATGCGCGCTAACGTCGTAAAAACGTTCTGAATACGAGCCTAAATTATTAATATTTATATTCTTATACAGATGCTTATTAAAGTATATTCATGATTTAATATGGATATTATTATTTTAATTCCGTTTATAAAAGCGTTTTAAGACTAAAAAAGTCAGTAAAAAATTAAGTCAGTTTAAGTCAGTAAAAAATTATACTCAATCTTTTTTTTTTACATAGATATTCGGACGCAATAATAGAACAATGAAATTTTTTTTTGCTAATATTTTGAGATGTGACATTAATATTTAAAGTGCTGTGTGTGTGTGTGTGTATTTGTGTGTATTCAATTCTTCATACTAAATTTTAATAAAAATAAACTAAAATCAATTATATATGTGTGGTATGCAAATAGTACGTGGTAGCGCTGTTAGGAAAAAGAATTCTCTGAGAAAAAATAGAAGATATTTAAAAATACATATTGTTTGCGTTAAATCAACAAAATAAAATTTTTTCGTCACGTTCTAAAAGCTGCTTGGAACACTACATATTGCAACTACTTCTCACTTCTGATGAGCTAATTTAATTGCTGTGACTATTATTGTGACTAATACGCGTTCTGCAATGTCAACGTGTCTTGAAAGGATATTAATGCAACTTTCCTGTATGAGAACAACGTCCATTATAATGACGTTCGTACTGGCGATCACAGTCCAAAAGAAAGAATGGAAGAAATTGTGATTGAATGGAAAAATTGAATTCCAAGCCGGTTTCGCAAATGTAAAAAAAAAGCACTGTACAAATCTTAGCGAAAAGGTGCGTTCTTCAAATAGGAGAAAAGATTATATAATATGGTTTCTTACGAGCATTATGTTGTTCTATCGAAGACGTTTCCAACCCAAGGTTATTTATTTCGTCTATAAAAACAACGTATTCAAACAGAATTATTCAATATTTATCCTCCAAATATTTATCCTCGCGTCACTATTTATTATAGCATACATCTCAGTTAACTCTTCGAGATTTTGCATCATATTTATTTTTACGAATCATTTTGTCGCAACGATAAAAATTGACAAGTCGATAAAACACACTGATGTATACTGATGTATAAGCAATTATTTAACCGCAATATTTAAAAAAACGCAATATATTCTATCTCCTTTTAATAGAATACATGAAATAATACAAGAACGATTTTGGAAAGGAAATTTAGGGGAATTTGAATTTTTTTTCCTGTGTGATAAATTCAAATGTGTATAAAAGTTTTTTCTTCAAATCTTATAATGAAGTTTCTCAGACATAAACTTCTGTTCATTTGCTTATAATAACACTTATTCATGCTTTAGTTATAAATAAGCAAAATTTATATATTTATTCATATTATTGCTTCTGCTGCTTTTTGCGAAAGAGGAATAAGCAAATCATTCATATTTGCCTTCTGCGATCTTTATAGCTCTGCGATCTTTAATATAATTATATATCAATTTTCTATTTATAATTCAATTATAAAACATTAATATTCTTGCATATTTTTCACACAGTATGAATTATTAAAAATATCATTATTTCTAAATCTGCTGAAAAGTTATTGCGAGATTTTGGCATACAAATCGCTTTATAAAAAGTTCGGAAACCTGCAAGCTATTTATAATTACATGAATACAATCATGGAATTGATGTATGTTATACTTAATGTATGCAGCATTATCATTGTATGTGCACATATACGTGTGGTTCAGCTCGAATATCATAGTAATACGGTTACAAGATTGACTTCCATTTTATGTAAAACTCATTCGAGATAAGTCGATACTAAGCAGAGTTATTCAATCGAGAATATAACGGGAATTGAAACCTCTTTAGATTATCCATAATTTAATCGTTGAAAACTTTTTTAGAAAAAAACTTTAACAAAAATTTGTATTTCCCAAGTACGTGTAGAATGCGATAAAATAAATATAAATGTCGTTAAATATAAGTATATAATAAATAACGTTAAGAAAAATAATATACACGAAAAGAATAGTTTTGCTGAAGTATTTAGCTAGATATAAATCAGAAAATAATTTTATCGGACTAGAATAAACTTAAGTAAGATGATTATCTTTAAAATGAAAAAGACATACTTTAATTTTTGCTATCTTTAATAATGTTATATTTGTATATCTTTTCTGCCATACGAAAAAGATATAGATACCAATATAACACTATTATAGATGACAAAAATTAAAGTATGTTTTTGGCATGTAAAAAATGATCATCTTATACAAATTTAACTTATTAAAATATTTATGTAGAACGCTCAGGCTGAAATTGTTGAAGAATATCAAAACTTTTTGACTGTGTTGCTCTCCGCAAAATACAGACCAACAATAACGTTACATCAATAACAATATAATTTTTTATTCAATAATGTAATATAACACATGTTATGTATATAACATTATATTCTTGAATAGGAAACTGTAACATTGATGTAATGTTACTGTTAGTTGTTTGTATTTTACGTCAATTGAGTTTTCTACACAATATTTTAATGATGCAGCAAAATAGTTCTTTCTGTATAGCTTTGATACCATAAGATTTATACTTTAGATTTTAATATCAAAATTTTGAATAAGACATTAACGAATTTAGATTCATCGCCTTATAAGGTAAATGTACCAGTTAGTGAACGTGACCCAATTATTAGAAAAAAAGTTAAATATTAAATTTTTAACGATACGTAAATTTATTGTTTGTAAAAATTTAAGAAAATAAATTAATTCAGAGTCGTACACATCACTAAAGGGCTTAATATTCAAAATTTTTGTCATTTTGTCTAATAATAGGATCGTATTACTAACTGGTACATTTATCTTATGTGTAACGTATGTAATTTATATTCTTGATAATAAAAATATTGTGAAAATAACATGTTCCCTTCTTGACTAATCTTCTCCAGATCCATCACCGGATATCGACATTCACCGTGTTCTCTATCTCCTCGAGAGGAACGGTCAGGCACGATCGCCAGGTGCGTCGCCGATTCGTCGCTCCCACCATCAGCTCGGCTCGGCTCGACTCGACTCGGCGTTTATCCCTCTCGAAGTAGCCCATTCCTTCCTCTTCTCCTTTTTCATTGCATTTTTCCTTCTCGCGTGGTCAGAACGCTGTACGATAACCTGACGAACGGAGGGAAAGTTCTTCATGGTCTCTCTCACATCTCTCTCTCTCTCTCTCTCTCTTTCTCTCTCTCTCTCTCTCTCTCTCTTTCTCTCTCTCTCTCTGCGTACCGGTCCAGTTGTGGTTAACAAGTTCTTAAGATTCGGTTGCTCGCTCGGGCCGCTCGGGGTGTCGCGCGCAGCAAGGTGAACAAGTCGCAGTGTATAGTGTAAAACGTTCTGTTCGGTGCGATTCTACTTCGAGAGTAACCGTCCCCGACATAATATTGAAGTGCTCTCACGGATTGAGCTATCTCTCGTGCGCATCAGTATATCATTCGCATTGCGGCCACTATTGTCATTATTGCAGTTTATGCGAATGTTCAAGGACCAGCTGGCACCGGTTACTGAGAGACGCTCGTATCTCGTGGTCGCTATGCATATCTTTGTACGTGCGATAAGCGCAGCTTTGACAGCGGTGGCAAAACCGGCGCTTGTAGTGAACGAATTAGACAAAGTGATTACGATACGCACCGCTTTGCAATCGTAAACAACGAAAAGTAAGTGTAAAATTAGGAGAGATTCAACAGTCTTTGAATCATATTCGTGATTTCCCGAAAAGATAGCGTGCGAGCGCGAAAATAGTTATCTTCGCGAGAATCGCGAGACGCTTGAACTTAACGGGAATCCGAGCGGAAGCGCTCCAGTTTCGCTGCAGTCTACAACTTGGAGAAAGGCTTGGTTGACGGTGATTAGACGAAAATTCCAATCCGGTTCATTTGCAACTCTCAGGACCGCGCTGAATTTCTCGAGGTGGTTGAACTAGTAGTTGGAGTGCGCGGTGGGCGAGGTGGAGTGCCGCGGCCGCGGCACGTCGATTGAAGGGAGATTTCAACGCGCGTGTAACACGCGTCCGGATTCGCCGGATATCGATTCGCGCATCCGTGAGTAGAAGTTCATATATTGTTTTTCTTCTGTTGATAGTGCCAGTCTATGAATTTAGCAAGTCATATGTATTATAAAAACCTTGTATTATAAAAACTAATCCGGTTGAAATGAGATGTTTCAATGTCATAAGAGAGATCTACTTTTTTTTATAAGATTTGCTGATTATTATGAATCAGTAATATTTAGATTGAGAAAGTTTAACTATAATTTAGTCATTTTTGTTTGCCAACTATTATAATATATATAAAATTTATTATTATTGTAGCAATAATAATTACAATTATAGTAACATGTCATAAATATTAAAATTTTTTTCTCTCAGCGTATCGAAGAAGGAAAGAAAGGATAAATAACATTTAAACGTAATATTTGAATCTTTATATGAAAATTTTTCTGTCAATTTTGTCTAATACTTTCTTAAATATATGCGAGCTGATTGGTAGCGTAACAGTATCGTATAAAATTATACGTACATCATGATTCGCTATAGCGGTAATTCGTGCTACTTATAATTAAATTTTTGTAAGATTCTTGCATTGTTAGCTTAATGAAGAACACCTTTTGCACTCGTAGAAAAAGCAATAATATCGAATAATGAGATTTAATTGCTATGATATCTATGAATCATTATGATAATTAGAATCTTTATCTTTACAATAATCAGAAGATAACACAGACTAAACCCATGTACTTTTGAATGACACACAATATATTGCTGAATATAATGTTTCAAACTATAAATATACAAAATCTTATTTATTTATCACAATAAGATAAGATATATTTTTAGATACCTTACATTATTGTACATACAAATAAATAATAATACATTAAATTTAATTTATAAGAATGAAAATAAGATATAGATACTTATTAAATATAAATTATTTTTATACATGCTTCGAGATATGAAATATTCAATATTACGCGTCATTGAAAACTTTTTGCTCATAATTATCATATTTGCATCCAAATGATGAGTTACTTGGATCAGTTTTTTATCGCATAAATTGGCATAAAATATTGTCAATCGGAATTTACTATCTAAGAAAAAAAAAATCGATTAATTTTTTCTCCATTGTGCAGAATATTCCCAAGCAAAGAGCGGGTTATATATACGCGTTGAAAGACGCCAGTTCTCGATTCGCGTATTATTTCGTCAAAACTCGCGGCAACGCGCTGTTAGTGCGCGCGTTTCGAATTAAGGAATGCACGCGATGCACTTTATTTCGTGTAATTCAATCTACCACGAACATGAATGCAGTTACAGCATAGTGTTTTTTGAATGTCGTGTTTCCATTTTCTACGATCTCTTGCTAAATTGTGTCTGAATTGTAATCGTTATTATAAAAATTTTTTCGCAAATATTATATCTTGAAATAATTTGTAAAAATTCTACTCTTTCACAAGTCGAACGATACGTGATTTACAATAGTTTTTATCCTTTTCTACACTGTCATTATGCAAGCCTACGGCAAGTTTCGAGGAAGCGTTAATTGCTGCCGGTGCAATTTCAGTTGCATGCCGTTGCGTTTACGGTTTCTTGTACATTTGTAATCTTCTAGGAAATCCCTTATGTGTTTGGACCCTAGAAGCAACGCAAAAAGTATTGCAACATATTTCTTTGTTTATTCAAACGGTACATTGTATTCGTGTCGAACAGCTGCGACATGGGATCTGACAGAGTAATGACTAATATTTCGACATCAATAAGTAGATAATCCGAGGCCTGCGTCATTATTACCGGTGAAATTACGATGATAATGTCAATTTTCTCTCCTCCACCTAATATCATAATAACATACGTACACTATAACTTCCGCATTCTCATGCTTTTTATGAAAGAAAGTAGTTAGATAATCATATCTATAACTAATTGATGCATTCAAAAAGTACACGTTATTAATTGTTATGACGTAATGTATGCTTTCTCATTGTTAAATGTTTCCAAAGTAATTTACGCAATTCTTAAGGAGCGCTAATTCGCGTGCGAACTTATAATAAAAGCAGTGAAAAGAATCAAAATCGAAGAAGAAAGAAAAATGCAAGAAGTAAAAAATCATGAACAGTAGAAGAAATTTTACACGCGATGGATTAAAAAATACATTAGTAAACAAAAATATGTTACAAAAAAAGTTTACTATTTTTAATTTGAGCTTTTCTCCTTTTCCCAAAAATAATGAAAAAGAATCACATCTAGAAAATTCATAATTTTCGAGTAAATTGATATTGATTACGTGATATCATTTGATTTTTTTCCCCTTTATATCGTGCAGAAAATTGCAAAGTAGTTAACAATAATAAGATATAGCGCGATTGAACAAGATATATTCAGCGTATCGCTGTCATTATCGCTGTCCAATCGAACATATCAGTATCGCTATAATCAGTTGATATAATCATGTTATTAGCGTCTAAATCAAGTAAATTATACGTAAGATAACGAAAATCACAGGCTGAAGGTCCATTTAAACACATCGGAAGACTGTCAACGGTCTCGGATGTGGGATGGACACAGGAACTTTCTCTCGACGCTTTCTCCGACGATTTCGTGATCAAGGAGATAACCACGTAATCGCCCGAATTCTGGAGATATTTATTATTATAGAAAGCCGCATCCGCTATTTTATATTATAATATTATGAAATCCGCGCACGAGAGCTTCGTTAAGTCTTTTCGCGGTGTGCGTGCTCCACAAGAGCGTGACAGAAGCGATTAATCTCGATAAATAAAGTATGTTATGATATAGATGGAGACATATTTCAACTTCCTAAATAAAATATTTATAAATGAGCATTCACTTTTACCTCCACTTGATTAAGAAAGAAACGTTTTCGAAATATCGTAACAGAGTTATAGCAAAATTTCTTTCTCCAGGGAAATGCCTGCGTTGAAACTCTTCGGTCGAAAATGGTTGGCCGCAACCGACGACCTCGTGTATCCAGGCTTGTTCGAATTATTTATCCGTATTGTATGGTAAGTATCCCCGAAAAGCAATTACCGCGATTATCAGTATGTTGAAATTATAGTGCATAATATTAATCACGAATACAACGTAACATGTAAATTGTAATTCAAAATTACTATGCAAAAATTCAAGAACTTTAAGGCTCAAATTTTAACTAAATTCTATTGCCGGGTCTACAGTCGGAAGTCTTAGACTTAATCGGTGAAGTTGATATAATAGTCAACTTGTATGACTAACGTTGATTGGTCAACTTCACCAATTAAGGCCCAATTTCACAACATTCATGATTAATTCTTAATCGAAGTTCAATTTCTTTCTCATCTTTTTCCAATTATAATATTGGAAAGAGACAATGAATAAGTTGAATCTCCGTTATGAGTTAATCGTCAGTTGTAGAACTGATCTAAGTCTAAGACTTCCGATTACAGACTCTCATTGTAAACTCGATATACAAAATTCTCTAAATTTGTTAGAAGCATTGAATATTCTCAATATTAAGTTCTTTCGCAGGAGCGCATCGCCCGATTAAAATCGCGCGGATTGTTGCTAGTTTGTTTCTCGTAATCGGCTGTGTGTTTTACAGGTTGATTCTTATAGGGATCGCCTGCGCAAGGTACTACGAGGATACGTGGAATTGTCGGTTGGGAGGTGAATTAGTGCGCGTGTATCTCCTCGGTGAAGCGGTCATGCTTGGTATCGTCACGCTTTTGATATTCATCATTATCAGGCATAGCGCGAGGGGGGCTATTATGGACACGCATGCCCGACGCTATGTCGAACCGCTTCTGCTGGTCAAGTAAGCAACAAAAGTAAACCAGCGTTATGTCTAATCAGTTTTCTAGATCGATAACCTTCATGGGACACTTTTTCAAAGTTTTCAACTCCTGTATGTTGTTTTTAATAATAATTTGCCCAATTATTTGCAATCGGTTCATTCATTGTTATGAGCTAGAGGCCTTTTATCATAACTTCTCTTCATCATAATTTTATATATAAAATTTTATATATATATATATACAGGGTGTTCATAAATTTTAACCAATCGCTTTTATATAGATAGAGCGAACTAAACTAAGTCCTCTATCATTTTGCAATTTTCACAAGATATTAATTACTAAAAATCGCTGAATATTGATTTTCAATAATTTTTTACTCAAATACTATCAACTTTATAGAAAAATAGCGAGAGACAAAAATTATTTATTTTCTTTTTATAAAATTCTGAGAATTTTTTCAGAATTTTTTCAAAATTTTTTAATATCGTATTTTCTCATGTTGGTAAAAATAAGAAAATGCGGTATTAAAAAGTTGATAAAAAATTCTGAAAAAATTCTTAGTTTTATGAGAAGAAAATACATGATTTTTATCTTTTGCAGTTTTCTTGTAAAGTTGTATTTGAGTAAAAAAATTATTAGAATAAAGAACAATATTTGGCAATTTTTAGTAATTAATACCTTGTTAATCATTGTGAAAATTGCAAACCATTGCAAAATGATAGAGGACTTTTCGACTCAGTTTAGTCCGCTCTATCTACACAAAAGCGATTGGCCAAACTTATGGGACACTCTGCATATATATTTTATATATTGGGTCGGAGGAAAAATTCTATATTTTGTTAGCTTAAAATTATATACAGAATATATATATATATATATTCGTTGTAAAATTTTCGACTATTTGACGTGAAAATTTCAAATTTTTCCTAAAAGTTCGCTTTTAAGAAATGTTCCTACGACTTTTTATTACCAAATTACATGCGAATTAAATAAAAGAGCATTCTGATTTTGATTGCTAACTCCGTTAAAAATCATCATATCGCAAATTAAAAAATCAGATTCTTAAAGCTAAAACTTTGCTTTATCGAATGATATAATTACTAATTTTTTAAATGTAGAATTATAATGATAATTCAAAAGATAAAAAAAGATCAAGTAAGCTTCGCTTTCCGCGAAGACTACAGGCATGTTTAGATTAACATGTTGAATATATTAAACATTTATTACAATAATAAAAAAATTTGTTTCAGACTTATATCTTCTTTTAATTTATATCCTGAAAATAGTTAAGTTTATGAAGAGAGAGAGAGAGAGAGAGAGAGAGAGAGAGAAATACAAAGTGTTCAGCTAATTGAGTACTATCGATTGAATGATTAAAAAATACCTCTTCAAATTAAAAAAAGAATCTTTTTTTTATTAGTAGGTAGTAAAAAACCAAGGACATTTTAGGTTAATGCCATCAAAATGTCCCCCTACTTACAAGTTTGATAATACGTGTTTTCTCCTCTTATTTTTAATCATTTATAACAAAACGTGGTAAATTTTTTATCAGACTCTGTATGTATTATATCATATATAACTTCATAATTATAGAAAGATTATTCAATATTATCATATCATCTTTATTTTTGAATTATATTTCTTAATCAAAAGCTAAAAATAAAACTTTAGAAACATAAATACAAAAAAAGTCTTCTATTAGATGATACAGCTTTTATATAATACTGTTTATAATGCTACAGTAATTAACTTTTTCATAAGACGAGAAAAAATAAGCATCTGATAAAATCGGACTCAAACACTGACACAGTGGCAGTATACATTTCTATTTTCCTTTCACAGGAGTCATCTATAAAATATCTACATGTATATGAGAATTTCTAAAATTCTTTTACTTTGAAGTAAAACGTATTTTGTTAATTTATACGCATATATTTTATGCTGTTATGCAAAATGCAAACATATAAACGTAACACTTTTTTGGAAGATTTCGCCATAAATACAATATCAGCTGACTTATTTGACGCAACACTATATACAAATTAGGTTAGTTTGAGATTTTTATACAGACAGCTATCTAAGCAGTAATTTGTCATTGGACATCCGAAATATGTCTAGAAATATAATATGGTTAACCCTTATATTATTAGAATATGTATGCATATTATATATAAAAAACATACATATGCATATATATAATACCTATGTATAATACATAAATATACGTCCCCCGGATATAAAATCATAAATGATTATTTATTCTGAAATTTTATGTTAATAAATGTAAATAAAAACATCTAGATACATTTAAAATACATTTGAAGTACCTATACCTCGGTACATTTTTTCCAGAGTATACCTGTATCTAGATATTGAAAATAAAATACCTTGCTCAACACTATACATTGTTGTCATATTTCGCTATATTATAAGCAATAATCATGATTTTTTTTTAGCTTAGCAACTGACGATCATCAAATTAATGATAAGTCTAGACATTTCTTTTCGACTTATTCAGGATATTGATGCTACTGCCAGAGATCGGATGGAACATTCTGGGTACTCTATGGATTTTCGGGCAGAGCGTTGAATGCAACCACGAATCATACTCTATTACGGTCGTGGAGGCCCTGGTGTTTTTCGATTGGATCCTAATCGGTCTCAGTATCTTCGGCCTCGCCCTAGTGTTCGACCCAATTGGTTCTTTGGAGAAGAAACAGCTAGAGAACTCTGTGGAGCACGGCAAGGTCTCGCGTATTTGGCTAAGAAGATTCAAATTCCTGTGGTGGATGCGTAAGGATGAGAGTGCGAACGAGGCCTTTCAACAAGTCGCTGGTGAGACATAGGTACGGCTGACCTACAAAGAGGTCTTGCCGCATTCGAAACTGGAATCGCGTAGGTATCGCTTCCAATCAGAAACCGAGCGCGAACGGTCATCAAAAGGCCGATGATAAACCAAATCATTGATCTCTGATTTTGGCGCCGCGTCGGTAGAATTTTTTTTGTGATGAGTTCGTTGATCTCTCACCGCTCGGAGGTAGCGAACGCTTCGCAACATGCATAATTAATGCGATATGGTAGGAATGAATTTTAATTTGGGGTGAGATTAATATTAAACGATAAAAAGTTGTAATAATTTTATTCGATAAATCTAATTTGTACACGTAATTTATACCGTTTTTTAGCGGTTTATATCATTATGTGTATTATAAAATATTATTAAATGTAATATTATATAGAAAGAAAAAGAAACAGGAGAAGAGAGTAAGCAACTTATATATTTTTTTACTTTTTAATAATATAATTCATGATAAGTGCTGATATAAATATCTTTATAGGTCTTTTAACTGCTTTATTCCGAGGCACGAATTTGGTTCCTTCGGATGTAATGGCAGGATGTATTTTACTGAGAGTCCGGCAGAAGCGAGAAACTCATGAATTACGAAAGTTAAATCTAATTGCTCGTCCAAAATACACTTCAGGTATCGTCATTTATATATTGCAAAAAGATACAAAAAATATGTTTATATAATATTTGTCATTTATAAAGTATTTGCTAATTATTTTGTTAGATGGTAGCAAGATTTTTTCGAGCGCACCTAACTGGATGTCCTTGGAAGCCGCCCATCATTTCCTGCAACTATCGATCGCTTCTTACGGCTGGCTTTTCGTAATATATCAGCATACGTGTACTGGATGTTTTCGTTTGATACGCGGCATGAGATGCTGTGCTTGTTTTCGGTAAAAGACAACATAAAACTCAATATTACTCTTTATTTTTATTATTATTTGATAGAATAATCGTCACATATTTTTTAATTATTTCTATTATTTTATTATTTTATTGTCTCTTTTTTTAGACGAAAGCGTAATATTATTCTAGACGATAACTGTTGTCTCTGTTATCTTTCTGGCGTAAAATACCTGTCAAAGATATCTGAGGATGATATTCTATTCGCTTCCTTCAAGAATCATTTATGCGAAGTTTGTATATTGTGTCTAAATTATACTCTTTCTATGCTCGTTCAGCATTAAGTATTGCTCTTTGAAATTTTACAGATACCATTCTGTGTAATGGTGGATCACAAAACTGCCAGTATTGTTGTGATTATACGAGGATCGTTATCGTTGCGAGATATAATTACTGATTTTGCAGCCTCATCTGATTTATTTGAATGTCCTGGTATTCCATCAGGAAGTATGGTTCGTTCAATTTCCAATCTCTGATTATAAGATATATAAATAAATCAATTTAATTGTATTAGGTGTTGGAATTAATTCGTAGCGTTTTTTAATGAAAGAATGTTATTTATTTCACATGAGCATTAAAAAATACATTAATGAAAGTACTTCCCATCACTTGTAAAACGCTACGAATTAATTCCAACACCTAATATATAAATTTATGTAAAATTTATAGGCCCACAAAGGCATGATAATAGGAGTAAAAGTAATTTTAAAGCAATTGGAAAATTATAAAGTCCTAGAAAGAGCGTTCGCCACGTATCCTAATTATCATCTGACATTTACTGGTAAGAACGTACTCCGTACTAACTGCCGCTGACGCATAACTGTGTGACACATAATTCTATAATGAGATAATGTATATGCTTAGGTCATAGTTTAGGAGCCGGTTTAGCCATTTTGCTGGGTTTACTGATACGTCCTCGTTATCCAGAGTTAAGAGTCTACGCGTATGCTACACCTGGTAATTGTTTGTGCAAATATCATAGTTTAATTAATACTAAAAAAGTTGAAGCTGAAAGTTGACAGATATACTATCGCCAATTATTAATTTTGCGCACACATATAATAGACTTATTAATAGATTTACAATTTCTAATGTATTTCTTCAAAAAGCTGGACTGCTCAGTAGAGAAGCTGCTAAGATCACGGAAGAATTCGTATTGACCGTAGGACTTGGCGATGATCTTGTAATGAGACTCAGTGTGGATAGTATAGAGAATTTAAGGACGTCGTTACTGACAACTCTTCATGCTTGTCGATTGCCTAAGGTATTTTGGAATTTATATGACACTCGGACTATTAAATCGAACTGTTTCGATAAATACTTTCATGTTTTTAGTACAGAGTTGTCCTGAATGGATTCGGATATGCTTTGTTCGGAGTTCCTGAAAGAGATCTGAGTAAAACATGGGCCAATCATAACATAATTAATACAATCCCAGGTCAATCGCCTTTGCTAATCAAGCACAATGATAAGGTAAGAAAAAGTGCATTTACAAAATTTATAGAAAGTGTTGAACACAAACATTTGTAATATATATTGATTCTATGTAATATTGAATTTAATGATTAATTAAACTTAAACTTTTTGTTGTTGGAATAATTTATTTTTTTCCAATAGGATAAAATAATAGAACGCGATATAACAAAAAGAAGATATTCGAAAATGAAACTGTTTAACGCTGGTCGTATACTTCATATAGTGAGATGCAAACTCGAAAAAACGGAAGGAAAAAGGTGCATTGCTCTTACATAATTTCTTATTATAAGTATTAATTTTTATGGTTCTCATAAAAAAATATAAATCAAATCCTCCAAAATACTGCAAAAATATATTAAGTGTCATAGGATTACAAAATTTTAGATAATAACAATGTTTTTTTAATTTTTACATTAGCAAAAAACAACTCGCAAAGGAGAGAAAATACGAGATGCGATGGGCACAAGCGGAGGAATTTATAAAATTAACAGTAATGCCACGCATGCTTTTGGATCATTTACCAGAAAATATAGAGAGGGCTTTAGCTACATTACTGGAGCAACAGAAAGATATACCGTATTATTTCGATCCTTAGTGTAATCCAAAGAAGTGATTTTATAGTTTTAATAAAAAGAATTTTTCGCAAAATCACAAATCAAATCCTATAATATATCCTAAAATTATTTATCAACTTTTTATTCAGTTTATAACATAGAAATTGGTAATAAAATAAACTAATAAATAAATAAAATAAAAGATGGGATAATTTCCTAATGAGAAATAGATATATTGATTTGAAACATTTTGACTAATTAGGATTAATTTAATCAATGATTAATTGAAAAAAATGGAAGTCCCACTTATAAGTGTAATGACAAAACGCAAAGTTAAAAATTTAGTAGACATTATTTAAAAATTTCTATATTTAATTAACTTTTTACATTGCATTAGCGTTTTACGTATTTTACTCTCTAAATTTTTTAAAGTGGAATTATTATTTAAAACGAATAAAAGTTTTCTAATCGATAATGAAAATATAATCAAAATGAAGTAACATTTCGTATTTTATAAAAATATTTAACTCCAACCGTATAGTAACCTTCGTAAAAAAATTTTTTATACTGTATAATTATATATATATATATATATAATATATATATATAATTATATACAAATGGCAAAATTATGATGAAACGTATTTGGGAATAAATTTCACAATTCTCTCAAGCTAATTACCCCCATCCTAAGTTATATCCATATATAGCGTCACTTGACCTTTGCGATCGTACGAGAACTATTGTTTCATAATGATATTTCAATGTTAATAGATTTACGTAACTTCTAGAATAGATTTGTGACACATTTTAGATTTGTGATTCATTTTAATTTTAGGTATAGGCAACATTTTTGTTTATTACATATGTC